GGTTTACGCCAGACCGCGTCTTGTCGTAGGCTTCGCGATGTCTCGCGGCCTGTTCCTCCAATCCGCACCTGGCGTACCGGCGTACCTGGTCCAACCTCAGAGGGCCTTGAAGAGGCGGACCCCTGACGTGCTGGATGCTCTGAAGCGGCGGCTGGAGGAGCTTCCGTGCCTGCAGAAGCCACTTCCAGCTATGGAGACACGCTATGTAAGTTACCTACACGGCAGGAAATAACCACAACAAAAGTAGTACACAAATTTCTGGCAAATTTTTATCAGGAATTTAGTGTACTATTCAAGTACAACAATTGTTGTACAAAGTACAATAGAACCGGCATGACGAGTGCTGTGCAGTCCAGGCTCGTTGTGGTTTGTACAATTCTCGTTGTACTTTCTACAATCCCTGTTGTACTTTGATTGTACAGTTTTTGTTGTACTTTTGTTGTACTATCCACACTTTTTCTTGCAGTGTACATGTACCTAAAGATATTAATTAAACTGTTAGCTTTTTATATCTATTCACTTTATATTTTTCCAGGCAAACCTTGGGGACGAGGGGGTTTATATGAAAGTGAGCCACCTTCTTCAGGAGCAGTCCTGCACAGGAAGGATCCAGTAGGACTGTTCCGGGACTACTAGACCGGCTTGTTCCCGAAGAGGTGGCCTCTAACCCTGCACTCAGCCGAACGGGCCACGGGGACACCGTGTCCATTCCCGAGAAGGTGGTGGTTGCTGCCTACAGTAAGAATTACCGTCAACGGGGGTACTTGGGACACTTTTTCACGTTTTTTGAACGCCAGAGGCAAGATTCTCAACCCAGACCATTGGAGCCTACCTATGTTAAAGTTTGACCTTTCCCCATGATTTCATGCTTGTCTGGTTCATTTGCCTCGATTACATCGTTTCCAAGCAGTCTCGAAAGAGTGTCCCAAGTTACCCCATGACCGGGGGTAACTTGGGACAGTAGGTAATTACCTTCATTCCCAGCATCTATTGATGTTAATGGATGTAATGAATTTAAGTCACAACACGCAGACCAAGAATTCAGCTTAGGAACTCTTGTAGGACCGATATTGGACTATATCTGGGCCTCTACGTGGAACTCTCTTTTCTACTGGTATTTTCAAGGCATTTCTGAAAATTTCAAAATATGATTACCAGAAGACAAAACTGCACAGCAAGGCATCTCTTTCCATCATCAGCGTAAAATCCGAAGTTTATGTTATGTCAGGGACCGGGGTCAGTCAACTCCTTGGAGGCAAGGACTGCTGGAACATGAGGAAGAGACTGTTCCAATTACCCCGTAAAATTTCGATTTTTGATAAAATGAGTCTGGACCGAAGATGGGAAAACTATAATCAACGCCCTTTTGCGAACGTTATTGTCTGTGTATGATCTAACAACCCAGAGAGACTAATCGGCCTAATCTGCATTTCACTCCTTGCACTAGGGGGGTCAACTTGTCAATGTTTGACATATTTTGTCAAACCCTATTTTGTAGTTTCCCGTTTCTCAAATACTAATTGTGATGTTATGCGCCTTTTCTACCTTTCCGCGCGTGCCCTGAGGCCTCTGAAACAAAATCCTGCCGCGGGTTTGACGCTAGGAACCCCCGTCGCTGAATGGCACCAACAAGCTGTACAGGGCAGACTGTCCCAAGTTACCCCCGTTGACGGTACATAAGAAACCATGATGAGTTCTGACAGGGCCAAAAAAAATGAAAACCGCTTGGGAAGAACGACAAGAAGGTGGTCCCCCAAAACCCCAAAGCGAGGACCATGCCCTAGCTCAGCGGTTCCCAACCTTTTTCAGCCCGCGACCCTAAAATGGCTTCCAAAATTTTTCGCGACCCCAGGAACAAAATTACGCGACCCCACCTTTTTCGGGGGGGGGGGATTTTTTTTTTCCGAAAATTAACTGTAACATTTTGAATTTTGACCGAATTTGGAGGGTTTGAGTGCATTTAAAATAGAGGGCCGAAATTTGTAATGAGACATTCACATTTTCAAATGATAGCTGCCTGGCTGTGTTAATTTTGACACCCAAGCCTGGTACTCTTTTGTGCCGCCCACCTTTCAATACCATTGGCGCCTATGCCACGCTTAACATTGGCGATTGCCTCCACTTAGAAAGTTTTAGCGTGTGTATTCTATGCGTCTGTTTCCGCTTGGAAGCGCCAAAAACACCAAACACCCGTCGGTTTTTCCGTATTTCCGCACTGGCGGTTTCCCCGCAGACCGACCCTCAGGAGCCAACTCGCGACCTCACGCGACCCCAGGTAGCATGCCGCGACCCCAAATGGGGTCGCGACCGACCCAGGGGTTGAGATCCACTGCCCTAGCTTTAAATTGGTCCTGCAACTCAGAGCAGTATATTACCCTGCGAAATCAGTTTAGGAAGAAATTGTAACTTGTACCCAAGATACGACACTGGCAACAGCCATGAAAGCCTGTCATCCCCTGACATATGCATTTCTGGATCTTGCGCTGTGTTGGACTGCAGTCTATGGTAGGGAGACTCAACTGCTACACTCCCAGCATGTATGGCACACTGTGGCAAAAAGGTACGGAAAATTCTGTTAATTTTTTTGCCAGGATTCTCCGTAGCCCTCTTATCAATATTCTCCGTAGGCTCTTACAGTATTCTCCGTAGGGCCGTACAGTATTCTCTGTAAGTCCGCAGTCTTCTCCGTAGGACCTGGCAGACTGTATAGTCCTACGGAGATCACTGTAAGGTCCTACGGAGAATACTGTGCGGTCCTATGGAAAATACTGTAAGAGCCTACGGAGAATATTGATAAGGGGGCTACGGAGAATTACCACAAGCTGTTTACAGAATTTTCCGTAGCTTTTTGCCACAGTGCAGTCAGAGCCTCGTAATGCTCTTGATCCATTGAACATTTTCCAGCCCCTGACTGGTTTCCCTCAATGTCTTGAATGGTAAAGAAGGTAGCGTTGAGACTCGCCATGCGTTGCTTGCATTCCGCAGGTGGAAAATTCCTTCCCTTTTGCAGCATTGCGGCAGACACTAATTTGTACACATCAGATGTCCTGTGTGTACCATTTACAGCATTAAAGAGGGATTGGTGGTTTTTGTATTCTTCAAGGAGAAGCTTAATGGCACTGTTATCCCAAGAGTCTGAAACACACACAGAGCATGAATGTAACGATCAAAAAGTTGCAACCATAATCATGACCAGGCTGAGCTGAAGATAGAAGTACCTGTCGTTTGATTCATCTTCCTTTCTTCCCTTTTCTTGATGATCTCTGGGGTCTTGTAGGCTGGGTAAAGTTCCAACATGACATCATAGTGAGGGTAGTTTGATGACCCATCCTGGCCAGCCTCAGATTTCATGACCGTATTCACAAAGTAATTGCGGACACTTCTCAGTTTCTCCTTAAGCTGCTCCTCACTGTAATCGAGTTTACCATGCACCCAAAGGTGGGCCTTCACCTCAGCGAAAAGGGTGTTGGGCATTCCTCTCTTGCTATACGCCAAATGAGTATGGAGAAACTGTTCTGTCTTTTTGGCATCCCAGGCCCCCCCCCAGTTTGCCGACAGCAGACTGGCCAGGGATGGTTGAGGCCTTTGAGACAATGTCTGTTAAAGAAAAACAGGGACTATCAAGAATTTGACTCTCTTTACATGGGACAGTACACACTCTGATTGAATTACCAGGATCAACTGTTGTATCAGAAATATGATCTGTTGGAGGTGGCACATCAAGTGGCTGAGACAACGTCTTAAACGAAGATTTTAGAATCTTCTGATCGTACAGAAGTGGTTCAATGGCACTTACTTTCTGTGCAATAGTAGAATTAACAAACTGGAACATAGCGAAATTGCGATTCAAATTAGATCGCATACCACCTCAAGATTATGAAACACTCAATGACCATGTAAGAAGTCTACTTACCTGCACATAGCATTGTTTCTTATACCGATTGTGGTCAAAGACCCGAACCACAACTTTGTCGTCATCTGTAGCGAACAGGCAATGTTGTGCCATGTCATTCAGAAAGTTAGAGAAGTGCATCTGGTGATGGCAAAACAGAAAATTATGGTTAAATACCAGAAAGGCAATTTTAAAAAAATGCTAACAGAGTGATAAAGTGATGAGAAAGGTAAAAGTACCGGAAAAAAAGCTGCAGGAAGATTTTCAAATAATAAAATTGATGGTTGCTCAACAGTTGACTCTGAACTGAGATTCAGAATCAATTGTCGGCGATCATAAATTACAGGTTGCATTGCTAAGACCCTCTCAGCAATATCAGCATCAATAAACTGGATGGAAAATTATTAAAATGCAATTCAGTGATTTATCAATTATTACTAACAGCAAACACATATCATAAGAGAAATCTAGGCAGAATTTTATTACCTGCACCACGCACGAACGTTCTTTAAAATTAGACACAGTTTCAACACAAGATTTTCTTTCAACACTTTCAACACTAGACTCACCAAAGAGAAGGACGTTCAAGAAATTTATAAAATGAAGCTGAAAAAAAGGAATGTTAATAAATCAATACTTAAGGATTAATTAATAAGTCTATATAGATATATGAACCCACCTGTTCAAAGAAGCCAGGTAGATTTCCGAATTCAATGCAGCGGTGTTTTGCACCAGCAGGAGGCTTACTTTTCTTTTCATGTTCCATTCTCAAGGGAATAGTTTCATAAACAGCACCTCTTTTGGACACTTCTTCAGCAACACTTGCATTGATAAACTGCAAACCAAGATGAAAGGACATATTAGCCGCTGCCACTTTCATGAAGGATTCAGAAAAAAAAAAGCATGCGTATAATTACCTCAACAGAGCATGTCCTTTCATTCCTGTGGTGTGTTATATTTTTTACTGGAGAACCATCTTCGACCAGATCTGTATTATATGCTAACATTGAAATAAAGCATTTGAAGTGTGCCTCTCTGACAAATCGTGGCAAATTTGACACCTTCACTACTCCTGTGCCACATGTAACAGATTTCTCTGGGGGAGGTTCCCGGCTCCTCTCCTGGCAGAAAAAGAGGTTTTCGTCATTGAAAACCACTAAGGGGTCAATCGAACCCATTAGAGAAGCTACATGTTCATTTATAAACTAAATAGAGGGAGAAAGAAAAGAATTATTTACTCAAACATGAAGGCAAATAGTGGTTTTTCAAAAGTAAAGCATGCAGTACCTCCACTTCGATGCATTTCTGCTTCTTTCTTCAATGTGTCTAACAGCTGATGTGCCCTCCTCACTAACTATGCCATACAAAATAGCAGTTTTATTCAAAAAATCTCTTAAGTCAATCTGAAAAGAAATCACGGGATGAATGGATTTGGAATGTTGTATCATCATAAATAAGCAGATTTACTTTTCATTTTCAACTTACCATATCAACTTCCTTAAAAAAGGGCCCCAAAATTACTTTTGCCGTTAGGTGGAAGTGTGGTCTCAAGCCACCAGTTGTAAATGGTTGATTCTTGCTTGGGGACAACAGCCCTTCAACGTTGGAACTCAAGTCATTGCACTCAGTCGTGTTCCTCTCACTCTTAACAGGAGTAACAGGATCCACTGAAATAAGTTTGAAAACATTACTTCCAAAGAATAATTACTGGGATTTGAACTTCACAAAACAAGAAATTTAAAAGCCACTTACGCAACAGTTTCTTATGTGCAGGAGACGTGGCATCTGCTAGAATCCAGCCAAAAAAGTTACAGTAAGAAACACCATAAAAATATTACTACAATTTTTAATTTTAAAATTACCTTCATTCGATGTATGTGGTGGACACGTGAATAAACTAGAATTGGACGTGGATGCTACTGGAGCTGGGGTAGTCCTTATATCCAAAACTAAATCTGGACAACAGACAAAACAATGTTTGGCGGAGAAAATTAAGACACGTACTCTATAATATTCTGAGAGAAAACAATGCATGTGAAACTCACTGTTACATTCATTTTTTGTGATGACCACAGACTCGCACTGCGAGGGGTCATACGTTGACAAGAGGTACGCCCCCAGGTTGGTCAAGTAGTCCGGATCCGCAGTCATTATTGCGGCAGCATCATCTTCGACGCGCAGCAAAAATGACTTCGATGCATCATTCCCACACCTAAGTCTAATTTTTTTCATGATCAAACCAGGAGGAATACGTGTAGAACTGAACTGAAGCGAAGTCGAAGTCAAATGACACTTGTTGTTTATCCTCTCTGTATAAACACAACCACCGCCTGCTATAACACGACACTGAACGTCCTGCGCATGCTCCGCACGATCGGCACGATTGCGCGTTGAGCACAACCCCTTAGCGGAATGCGGCTCTTGCTCTCACCCTTCTTGTGGCATGCCCAGTAGGGGCCGTCGACATTTGCGACTTTTCGATTTTGACAACGGAATAGCACTCAAAAGTTGCGTTTTTTAATGCTGATTTCAGATCTGTCCTCGGTTTTGCGATCAGACAAAGCTTTGATGACCCTACCGGCCGTTTTATGCAAAAAAGCGGTGTTTTTCATGTTTTTACTGTGTTAAGGCTCCCGGACAGCCTCCACGTCGTCGGCCAAGGTAGGTGACCGTTGAGTTGTCTTCAGTAGCATAAAAGACAACACTCTGAGCCACGAGGGGTCGTGGGTCACCCCTCTAATGTGCCAAAGACTTGAAAAACTGAATTTTTTTGGTCGAAAATCACTCAATTTTTACCATTTTTTCACCGTTTATCGACTATTACGAGAGCCCACGGGCCCGAGGTCATAACTTACGCAGACCAAAAGGTGTCACTGGGTATAAGAAAGGTCACCCAGCCCCTGCCCGGGCCCGGGGAGGCGCTGGGGCAGCGAGAGAGGCGGTGTCGAATATGTTCAAAATGACCAAAATCAGCTGATCGGCCGCCTGGGACAGGCTGTGTAGGGGATGGGAGCGTGTCGCCGCGCCGGTCACGACGCTTCGCCCGCTGCCCGCCCAGCCGGCCTGCTAGCCAGCCGGCCTGCCAGCCCGTCGGCGCTGCGTAAGCCTGCAAGAGGGACAGAGCGACGGGAGCTGCAGGGCGGGCAGGCTGAAAGCGTTTCCGAAGAATCCATCGCTGCCTCTGTCGCACCCCGGAGGCAGAGCGACGGAGTGCTGCTGGCGCGTGTTGAGTTTGAGTTGCCTAGGCACAGTGAGGCAAGGCGTCAGTGTCGGCGGTGACCGCTGCAAGCGTCGTGCCAGCCTGGCATGGTCGACATGAGCCCCGATGGCCTGAGCCCCGGCCGAGCCCGACTTGAGCGCCGACACGAGCACTGACTGAGCTACGATGGCCCCGAACCGAGCCTGGTTTGAGCTTCGACCTGAGTCCCATCTGAGCCACACGCCGAAAAAATTCCATTTTTGAATTGTTCTTCGAAGATTTTGGTTCAAATTGAAAATTTTAACTTTTTAGGCGCGGGGCTCAAATGAGAATCAAATGAGGCCCAGGTCGGGGCTCAAAACAGGCTCAGGTCGGGGTTTTGGACATCGCAGCTCGAGTCGGGCTCGGCCGGGGCTCAGTTCGGGGCTCTGGCCATCGTAGCTTAGTCAGTGCTCGCGTCGGCGCTCAAGTCGGGCTCGGCCGGGGCTCAGGCCATCGGGGCTCATGTCGACCATGCCAGGCTGGCACGACGCTTGCAGCGGTCACCGCCGACACTGACGCCTTGCCTCACTGTGCCTAGGCAACTCAAACTCAACACGCGCCAGCAGCACTCCGTCGCTCTGCCTCCGGGGTGCGACAGAGGCAGCGATGGATTCTTCGGAAACGCTTTCAGCCTGCCCGCCCTGCAGCTCCCGTCGCTCTGTCCCTCTTGCAGGCTTACGCAGCGCCGACGGGCTGGCAGGCCGGCTGGCTAGCAGGCCGGCTGGGCGGGCAGCGGGCGAAGCGTCGTGACCGGCGCGGCGACACGCTCCCATCCCCTACACAGCCTGTCCCAGGCGGCCGATCAGCTGATTTTGGTCATTTTGAACATATTCGACACCGCCTCTCTCGCTGCCCCAGCGCCTCCCCGGGCCCGGGCAGGGGCTGGGTGACCTTTCTTATACCCAGTGACACCTTTTGGTCTGCGTAAGTTATGACCTCGGGCCCGTGGGCTCTCGTAATAGTCGATAAACGGTGAAAAAATGGTAAAAATTGAGTGATTTTCGACCAAAAAAATTCAGTTTTTCAAGTCTTTGGCACATTAGAGGGGTGACCCACGACCCCTCGTGGCTCAGAGTGTTGTCTTTTAAGCTACTGAAGACAACTCAACGGTCACCTACCTTGGCCGACGACGTGGAGGCTGTCCGGGAGCCTTAACACAGTAAAAACATGAAAAACACCGCTTTTTTGCATAAAACGGCCGGTAGGGTCATCAAAGCTTTGTCTGATCGCAAAACCGAGGACAGATCTGAAATCAGCATTAAAAAACGCAACTTTTGAGTGCTATTCCGTTGTCAAAATCGAAAAGTCGCAAATGTCGACGCCCCCTAATGCCCAGTATGTGTTAGAGGTTCCCGAGAACAAACTTTCTCATCCCTGATTTTCGAAAACACTCGTGTCATGAGGGATTTGTTAAAACAGTTCAAATCCGTTTGAACCCCACAGGATTTTACATTATTGACCACTTCTGCAAGTTGTTTATTGTTTTAAGTACTAGGAGCTGATAGGCAGGCTTTCCGGCTGTCACGGCAGTGGTAAATAAAGCCTTTGTACAGCAGTTTTATGCCTCCCTTTCGTGACGTGATTATTGAAGCAGCGTCGTCAGCCATGTCACCCCGCGTCAGCAACGGTCAACAATCGGCATTGACGCCAGGGCAGTGCCAACTTCGAAATATTCCTCCGCCCTCTGGGGAAGCTTGAGCAGGTAATACGTGCTGCCAGCGAACTTTCACCAGGGTGAAATTTGTACTGGAAATTCAAACATTGGGGAAAATGGAATTGGAAAATGCTGTGCGTTGGGAGTTCCGGGTTTGAAGGGGGTCAACCGACTCAAAAATATTATTCAGCAAGGGGATCGAAAGAGGGGTTCAGGAGCCTAACTTTTGGAGTGGAGGCATTAGGTGCCACGAACTCGTTTAGCGCTATTGCACGGCTTTGCTTCCAATGAGTCACTATTGCAAGACAAATATGGATATTTGCGATCATGAACCCTTCTTAAATTCTCAATTGCAGAGTGTTCTACACATTGCTTCAACAAAAATTACAGGAAGCGCCGCAGGCTAAGGTAGGTGAAAACGCCGGGCGTGGATAGGGTACTTCGGAGAAAACCCAGACCGGAAGTAAGCGACAGAACGGGAGAAACAGAAGAGCGTCGCGCGGCCGTGCTGAGCGGTGGTGGGGGCCGGAATCGGCGGAGTGGGGGTGAAGGCGGCGCGCGCATGCTCCCCCCACTCCTCCGATTCCGGCCCCCACCACCGCTCAACACAGCCGCGCGACGCTCTTCTGTTTCTCCCGTTTTGTCGCTGACTTCCGGTCTAGGTTTCCTCCGAAGCACCCTATTGGCGTAACTGCCGCAGCATCGCGAAGCCTGTTACAAGGAAGGTTTACGCCAGACCGCGTCTTGTCGTAGGCTTCGCGATGTCTCGCGGCCTGTTCCTCCAATCCGCACCTGGCGTACCGGCGTACCTGGTCCAACCTCAGAGGGCCTTGAAGAGGCGGACCCCTGACGTGCTGGATGCTCTGAAGCGGCAGCTGGAGGAGCTTCCGTGCCTGCAGAAGCCACTTCCAGCTATGGAGACACGCTATGTAAGTTACCTACACGGCAGGAAATAACCACAACAAAAGTAGTACACAAATTTCTGGCAAATTTTTATCAGGAATTTAGTGTACTATTCAAGTACAACAATTGTTGTACAAAGTACAATAGAACCGGCATGACGAGTGCTGTGCAGTCCAGGGCTCGTTGTGGTTTGTACAATTCTCGTTGTACTTTCTACAATCCCTGTTGTACTTTGATTGTACAGTTTTTGTTGTACTTTTGTTGTACTATCCACACTTTTTCTTGCAGTGTACATGTACCTAAAGAATATTAATTAAACTGTTAGCTTTTTATATCTATTCACTTTATATTTTTCCAGGCAAACCTTGGGGACGAGGGGGTTTATATGAAAGTGAGCCACCTTCTTCAGGAGCAGTCCCTGCACAGGAAGGATCCAGTAGGACTGTTCCGGGGACTACTAGACCGGCTTGTTCCCGAAGAGGTGGCCTCTAACCCTGCACTCAGCCGAACGGGCCACGGGGACACCGTGTCCATTCCCGAGAAGGTGGTGGTTGCTGCCTACAGTAAGAATTACCGTCAACGGGGGTAACTTGGGACACTTTTTCACGTTTTTTGAACGCCAGAGGCAAGATTCTCAACCCAGACCATTGGAGCCTACCTATGTTAAAGTTTGACCCTTTCCCCATGATTTCATGCTTGTCTGGTTCATTTGCCTCGATTACATCGTTTCCAAGCAGTCTCGAAAGAGTGTCCCAAGTTACCCCATGACCGGGGGTAACTTGGGACAGTAGGTAATTACCTTCATTCCCATGCATCTATTGATGTTAATGGATGTAATGAATTTAAGTCACAACACGCAGACCAAGAATTCAGGCTTAGGAACTCTTGTAGGACCGATATTGGACTATATCTGGGCCTCTACGTGGAACTCTCTTTTCTACTGGTATTTTCAAGGCATTTTCTGAAAATTTCAAAATATGGATTACCAGAAGACAAAACTGCACAGCAAGGCATCTCTTTCCATCATCAGCGTAAAATCCGAAGTTTATGTTATGTCAGGGACCGGGTCAGTCAACTCCTTGGAGGCAAGGACTGCTGGAAACATGAGGAAGAGACTGTTCCAATTACCCCGTAAAATTTCGATTTTTGATAAAATGAAGTCTGGACCGAAGATGGGAAAACTATAATCAACGCCCTTTTGCGAACGTTATTGTCTGTGTATGATCTAACAACCCAGAGAGACTAATCGGCCTAATCTGCATTTCACTCCTTGCACTAGGGGGGTCAACTTGTCAATGTTTGACATATTTTGTCAAAAACCCTATTTTGTAGTTTCCCGTTTCTCAAATACTA